GGGAGGAGGGGGAGGAGGGGAGGGGGAGGAGGGGAGGGGGAGCAGGAAGCTTTGGAGGGTTTGCAAAAACTCAGCATCCACCTCTCTGATAGCCCTCCCGGTGAGGGGCCAATGTAACCCCCTCCCCGACTTCTGGGCACGCTTTGATCAGGTGGGTTTATTAGGGAGAGGGGGTCCTGCCCCGCCACACGCTGTCCTGCGGGTGCTGGGCAGGCTGAGCCTTGGGCGAGGGCCGTGTTCGGGGAGCACGGGAGCATGTGGGCACCTTGAGGGCGCAGGTGCCTGTGTCCCCGAGGGGCCAGTGCAGCCTGGAGATGGCTGTGCAGGTGAGGAGCCCAAACCTGCCGAAGGTGCATATGGGAGAGAATGACAGCAAGAGCCCTGCTGGCCGAGGGAGGCCGAGCCAGCCCTGGGTCCTGCCCTCTGCACTCTGCACCCGGGGCGCCAGCCGCCTGTGTCTGCAGCCAGGGCCTGACGTCGTGAACACGGGAAACGTGAAAAGTGCCCCTTTAAGGGGTTCGGCAGAACACGCCATCCATTGATGATTTGAGAAAGTTGACCAGAGGTTTGCAGAGGAGGGCGGCTCTCCACCCACCGAACGTGGCTCCTTAGCTTCCCTGGGTGAACATGGCCGTCGAAAGGCCTAGGGAGAGCCTGACAGCTAAGTAAGAGCCCCCAGACCGCAGGCGTGGCCCGAGCGCCCCGCAGGGTGTGCGGCCCCGTGCAGAGGACGGCAGGGAGACTGGAGGCTGAGACGGGACTCCAGTCAGGCCACAGAGCGGGAATCAGCGGGCTCTCGGTTCCCGTCTTCCCCCCTGGGCTCCCCGCCCTCCCTCCAGGCCCCTACTCTGCCCCTCTGCCCCCACCTGGTTTGGGCCATCGGCCATTTTCCAGAAGCTGGGTGAGGCCAGAAGGGGAAGTCTGATCGGGGCTCCTCTGAGATCTCGCGTGTCCCTGGCTCTGGCTGTCAGATCTGGGGGTCCATTGGCTGAGGGGGGGCTGCCCGGGCCCCAACTTTGCACACAGACACCAGCAAAATGCCCGAGGGCACGCTGGCCCCCCATCCCTCCCTGCCACCACCAAACCCATGGAGACAAACGTGTGGTCCTGAAGGTCCCTCCCCAAGCAAGGGTGGGGGCGGCTAACAGGCTGGGCCCCGGGGCCAGAGGCCAGGCCCCCTCCACTCCAGGGTGACTCCAGCAAAACTCTGCACCGTCCCACAGGCCAGCCCCCGGGGCCTGTTCACCCTGAACAGGTAACCCCCAGTCCATCCCCCAGGCCGGCCGTGCCCAGGCCTGCGGCATCGGCTGGGCGCATGGCACGCACAGGTGTCCCCTGTGGTTGCCGGGGTCGGCTGGCCTTGGCTGCTCAGGACCAACCTGACAGACCGCACGGCCTCCCCCCGGGGTCCCCTTGCCGCAGGCTCACGCCACCAGCCCCACAGCATCTCACTGAATGGCCGAGTCCGACTGACTCTGACGAGGGCCTTGGCGGCACAGAGCCAGACACCCTCCAGGCCACCTTCCCGCACGACCACGCTGCGTGTGCAGGAGGGGACAGTCACACCCCCTCCCAGGCCAAGCTGGCGGCCCACGGGGTTCCCGGCGGCCCCAGGCCCTGCAGGGACACTCCCAGGGTGGCCACGCCGTCCCCCTGCGGCCCGGCCCCCTCCCCTGTGCTACCTGCGTGTCCTGTCGTCTGCCGGCTCCGGGCTGTGCATCAGAGCAAGGCCCTTGCGCGGACAAAACAGCAGTGGCTGGTGTGGGGTTCGCTCGGAGGAGCCGTCTCTGTGCGCAGGGAGGTGGCAGGTCTCCCCAGAGGGCACTTTGTGAGTCCCCCCCACCCCTGAGGAGAATGAGACTGGGGTCACAGAGCTGCCCCGGCCCCCTCCTCTGCTTGTCCTATGATGGGTTGTCACCAGCATCTGGAGAATATTCTAGAATTGTCCTCTGCGGCAGCCATTGTGAGTTTTTCAGTAGACCCCAGGTGGCAGCTATGGGAGGCCCTGGGCACCCCCCGGGATGGCCGCTGGGTGGTTGGCGGAGGCTGGAGGCCTGCAGGGGTGCAGAGCCCGGTGCGGTGATTGGGAGCGTGAGGAGGGAGGGCAGCAAGCGCTGGGGCGGGTGGGCTCCGTCATGACCCCCCCCCGGTCAGGCACACACAGTAATCGGGGGCCTGACCCTGGCTGTCGGGACACGGTGGGCACCCTCCCTGCGCAGCACCGGGTGGCTCAGTGGGGTACGTAACCCTCTGTGTTGCCGTCCAGCAGGGTAGAGAAGCGGAAGGTGACAGACCCCGTGGGAGTCCTGAAGGAGAAGTACCTGCGGCCGTCCCCTCTGCTTTTGCACCCCCAGGTAACACCCAGGCGGGGCCGGGCGGGCAGGCGGGCAGGATTCGCCCCCCCCCCAGTCCTGGGGCCGGGCGGGCAGGCGAGCAGGCTTCGCCCCCCCCCCAGTCCTGGGGCCGGGCGGGCAGGCGAGCAGGCTTCGCCCCCCCCCCAGTCCTGGGGCCGGGCGGGCAGGCGAGCAGGCTTCGGGCCCCCCCCAGTTCTGGGGCCGGGCGGGCGAGTGGGCCCCAGGACCCCCTATCCTGTGGCCCAGCAGCCGGGCTGCCCAGACCGGGAGGGTTCTGCTGGGGGCAGGCTCCCACACCCGAGGTGTGCCTCAGCTCCCCTGCCCGTCAGGCGCGGGGGGGGCTTCTCTGCCTGCAGCCCCCACAGGTCACCGCAAGCCAGCGGGGGATGACTAGGTCCAGGAGGGTGACGAGGAAGGAGGGTGGTGCTCTGCAGGGCAGCCCCGCGGGTCCCCCGGAGGCAGCCAAAGACCCCAGGGCATGGGGGGCGCGCCCACCTGCAGTTCAGGCTCCAGGCGGGGCAGTGAGCCTCAGCAAGGTCATGGGCAGCAGCTTAGATGCAGTGAGTCCAAGATTTTGGAACGTGAGGTGACAGACCCAGGGCGCTTAAGAGAGAAGACCAGGGAGCAGGGCTCTGAGTGTAGCGGGCACAGAGTGGCACAGCGGGCGGCGCGAAGGACGGAGGGTCCCAGGACGTGCCGGGCGGGGCTGGGGGGCTCCCCAGGGCTGCGACGGTGGCAGGCTGTCTGCCAAGTCCAGGGTCAGGGGTTGGGAAAGCGAACCCCCAAGCCAGGCAGCGGCCGCAGGTGCTTCTGTCCACCCCTCCCCTCCGGCTGTGTCCTCCCAGGGGCTGGGCGCAGAGGTGCGGGGGATGAGCGGCAGAGGGGGCAGCGTGCCCCCTGTCCTCACCCCTGGGGGCCCAGCCCCCCCAGAGCCACGGGCCGCCCCCGGCGGTAGCTGGACTGTGGGACAGCCTGAACCAGACTCCGGCCCGGCATTGTTCTCTTCCGCGGCGTTTCCCACCTTGTACAAACACCCCCAGCTGGTGAAAGCTGCCCCCTGCCTGGGTTCACAGCTAAACTTAGCACCTCCCATTGTTTCGCTGGGGCCGTGGGGTTTGCTTAATAACTTCCCCTGATTTTCTTCGGGTCGGCCTGGAAAATGCCGGCAGGCCAAGCAGGCGCATCCTGTGTTTGTGTTTGTGCGGGAGCCCCGCCGGCCGGGATATCTGATCGGGGGAGCAGGCCAGGCAGGCCGGACCTGCGGGCGGCCTCGGCAAGCCCCGCCCGGGCCTGAGGAAGAGGGGCCTGGCAGGGGGCCGGCTGCCCATTGTCCCTCCTGCCCACTCCCCCCTGAGCCCGGCCCCCCACCCCCGCTTGCTGCCTGCCTCTGGGCCAGAGCGCCGGGGGCGGGGGGGAGGCGAGGTGAGGAAGACTAGAGAGTCCCCTAAGTAAATGGTCTGAGGTCCGGCGGTCACCCGGGCAGGATAACTGATGGCCTCTGCAAAGGACAGGGTCGCTGTTGAATGAAGACGTCAGCCTGCGGTGGTCAGGTGCAGGACTTTGCCAGGGCCTTGGGTTTCTGAGCCCTGACACACGTGTGTGCAGCCCCTGGGGTGCCTGGCCGTGGCCCCCACCGCCTCTGGAATTCCCAGGGAGTCTGTGTGTGGAGAGTTCTGGAGCCTTTCAAGGCTGCAGCTAAAACTGAGGCTCAAAGCCAGGTGGGCACAGTCCGTGCGCCCGGGATCCCGTCGTCCAGGAGGTGGAGGGGCCAGCGAGAAGCTGGGCAGCGGCTGAGGGGACAGGGCAGACCCCCAGCCCCCAGGGACAGGCACAGTCTGGGGCCCCGATCAGAACGCTGCTCGCCAGATGCAGATGGCCAGTGCCACGTCTCTGTCTCCCTTCCCCTCCCATCACAAGCCCTTGGCACCTCCAAGGCCTGGAGAGGTGGCCTGTCCTGTCCAGGCCACCGTGTCAGTGCCGGGTCACACGGGCATCATCCTTTAAAACAGTGCGTCTAGCCTTGGGCAGTTAGAGCCCTTTTAGAATTTTGCCTGCAATCATGGCCTCCTGCCACTAGGCGGTGCTGCCCAGGCCGCGGGTCCCTGTCAACCCGAGATGCAGGTAGATTTCTTGATTTTTCACAAATCAAATAAAAACGTAAAGGAAAAAGGGAAAAGGAGTGGAGTGGAGAGGAGAGGAAAGAGTAGAAGGGAGGGGAGGAGAAGGGAGGGGGGGAGAGGGAAGTCAGACGCTCTGTCTACACCAAGCTAGCCCCCCAGGCGTGCTGGCCAGGGTCAGGCCAGCAGGGTGGTGCTGGGGGTCCCGGGTAAGGGGGGGTGTCCTCGCCAGGCAGGAGCCTGCCCCGCCGTGTGCCCCTGCTGGGCAGACGGGCTCCCACGGCCCGGGGCCCCCGCGGGCCTCTGGTCCTGGCCCAGCTGTGGACGGTCACCGGGAGGGGAGAGGTGGCGTCTCAGGGGGTCCCCCGTGTCTCCCGCTCTCCTGCCAACAGATGTCAGCCATCGAGACCATGACAGACAAGCTGGAGAGCTTCGCGGCCATGAAGGCGGAAGCAGGCGGCTCCCTGCAGCCCCTCCCCCACCACCCCTTCAACTTCCGGTCCCCAGCGCCCACGCTCTCGGACCCCATCCTCAGGAAGGGCAAGGAGCGGTACACGTGCAGGTGAGGCTGGGCGCGCCCGGGGGCTGGTGGGCGGCCGTGAGCCGGCACTGCCTGGGGAGACTCGGTCGAAGCCAGAGTGCGGCGCAGAGGCAGTAAATGGTTTGCTGTCCCGTGGGGGTCGCTCCCCACAGATCTGGAGGTGTAGGGGGACGCCCCCCTGCCCCACCGTGAACGTAAGAAAACGCAGCCTTCGCCCGGCGGTCAGCACCCCAAGGGCCCGCAGCCAAGGTGGGCTGGTCAGCATTTCAGCGCGGCTCTCGGAGCCAGCGGAAGCCCCCACGCACTGTGTCCGTCCCCAGCTGCAGGAGCCTGGCCACGCCCGCTCGGGCACCCCGGGCTCCACGGCTGAGATACGGCCTGGGGAAGGGGCAGGGTGCCGGCAGCCAGAGAGGGTCAGGCCCACCTGCCCAGCGGCACATGCAGGCCTCTCTGTCAAGTTCAGCTGGGCTCTGGGGCTGAAGGACCGACTGCGATCCGGGTGCCACAGCCGGGCCTCCCGCCCCCCCCCCACCAGCCTCGGGGCCTCAGGCCCTAGACGCCTAGCAAGAGGACCCGTGTGACTGACTAATGGCCCCCCTGCCCCTCCACGCAGGTACTGCGGCAAGATCTTCCCCCGATCAGCAAACCTCACGAGACACCTGAGGACGCACACCGGGGAGCAGCCGTACAGGTAGGAGCCCGCCTCGTTCGGCCGCGGCGGCGGGAGGTGGGCTTCCGGTGAGACCGCCCCCCACTCCCACTCACAGGAAGGGTGAGGGTGGGGCCAGCGTGCTCGGCCGGGTCGCTCCCTGGACCCCACGGCCGTCCAGTGTCCTGTGTGCCCGGTGGGCTTCCTGAAGGTTCTTGCCCACCCAGAGGCACGTGCCTGGAAGCGGCCCCCCGACCACTGCTGACTACCGGGGCGGGGAGTTCAGGTGCCGCCAAAGCCGGGCCCCGGGGGGGCCATTGGAGTGACCCCCACCCCACCCCCTCCCGGCTCAGCTCTTATGATGGGTGGGGGGGCAGGGCCGGCGTCTAAGGCAGGGTGGGCGTGGACAAGGTGCTCCAGGCGAACCCGAGACCCAGCCTGGGCTCTGGGCGTCCTGAGGGACTTGCCGGGCGGCCAGCCCTGGATGGCAGCCATGTGTCCCTGCTGCCCCGTCTCCTCGATGCCGGGCTTCTATGCTCAGACACGCAGCAAGTGGGTGTGGGAGCCGTCACATGTGTTCACAAGGGGTTGTCACCCCCGTCTCCAAGATGCAGAGCCAGAGGCTTAGACCCCATGACTTGCCCAGAGCCGGAGCCCCGGCCGCTCTAGCCATTCTGACCGCAGAGAAGCAGCTCCCGTCCTTCCGTCTCTGTGCCCTTTGTCGGGCGGCGGAAGGGATGAGGGGGGCACCTGGCTTTCGAACGGGCGGGTGCTGAGAGTTGGCATTTTATTTCTTTTAATTATTTTAAATGTTTATTTTTGAGAGACAAAGAGAGAGACAGGGCGTGAGCAGGGGAGGGGCAGAGAGAGGGACACAGATTCCAATGCAGCCTCCAGGCTCTGAGCTGTCAGCACAGAGCCCGACGCGGGGCTCAAACCCACAAACCGCGAGATCATGACCTGAGCCGAAGTCAGACACTTAACCGACTGAGCCACCCAGGCGCCCCTGAGAGGTGGCATTTTAAATGAGAGACCCGGGTGGCAACGACAGGAGACAAATCAGGGGGGAAGCTGATGTCGATGCCGAGACTTCGTTCTGGGGCGTGTCTGTGGGGGCAGCCGCTGGGAACGCGGTTTTAAGTCAGCAGCATGAGGTTCCGGTACTCCAGCCACGCAGAGCTCGCAGTTCCCGTCCCTGGGAAGGGCAGACACGTGGGGTCCCCCCAGGGGCCTAAGTCCCCGTGTGCCCCCCAAGATTCGACCACCACGGGGCCATGTCCTGTGAGCTGTGACAAGTGACAGCTCAGGACACTCAGCGGCCATCTGCTCAGTGCCCCCGGCCCCCCAACACTCAGACCCCGGCCCTCCCATCCCACAAAGCCTAGCAAAGGCAAGGCCGATGTGTTCCAGCCTCCCCTGAAAACGTGTTTTCCTGTAAGGAAAGCCACCTCTGAACAGTGCTGTGTGTGGGCGTCCCCAGAGGGTCAGGCGGTGTTTATAGAAGATTTTAATTGTCATCGATTTCTTTTGCTCTCTCCAGTCTGTGAGTTTCGAGTTGCCTAACAATAATTGCTTTGAAAGTTTGCGTCGCAAATCCTGACTTTACCTGGCTCAGGGCAGCCCTGTGATGGGGAGTTCTGGGGCTGTGGCTTTCCTTTTGACATCACCAGGGGCTTCTGGGATCACCTTGATCGTTGGGAGAATCTGAATTGGAGGAGGAAGTTTCGTCCTTCCGTCCTCAGAAACCTGTCCGGGGTCCCCCCAAAAGACCAGACTCCAGCCCAGCTCCACCCGGGCAGGGTGGATCCAAATCGCCGGCTGTCTACCTGGTGTGAGCTCCACTTCGGGGCCAGCCTCATGTGTGCGCCCCGTGTGTGTGCCCCATGTGTGCACCCTTGTGTGTGAGCCCCATGTGTGCGCCCGTGTGTGCGCCCCGTGTGTGTGCCCCATGTGTGCACCCCTGCGTGTGAGCCCCATGTGTGCACCCCTGTGTGTGAGCCCCATGTGTGTGCCCCGTGTGTGTGCCCCATGTGTGCGCCTCTGCATTCACCCCTGTGTTGTGCCCCTGCGTGTATGCCCCGTGTGTGAGCCCCATGTGTGTGCCCCTGAGTGTGAGCCCCATGTGTGCACCCCGTGTGTGTGCCCCATGTGTGCACCCCTGCATTCACCCCTGTGTTCACCCCTGCGTGCGTCCCTGTGTGTGTGCCCCATGTGTACACCCTGCATGCGCCCCTGCGTGTGTGCCCCACGTATACACCCTGCGTGCGCCCCTGCGTTGTGCCCCACGTGTACACCCTGCGTGCGCCCCTGCGTGTGTGCCTGAGGCCCCTCGACGGCAGGAGGGTGAGTCTGGGGGCCGCAGAGCAGAGGCAGTCGAACACCTCTAGGCAGCTTCCCGTTAAGCCCTTGCCTGAGATTAGCTAGAATCCCACAGAACGTGCTTCAGAGCCCTGGCTCTCAGGGAAAGAAAGGCCCTTGAGCGTGGCCGACGGTCTGAGTCCTGGAGGGAAGGCCGGCGCTCCGCCGGCCCGGTGTCCTCAGCTAATGGCTTCTCCCGAGGCTGGAAGGCGCAGGAAGACACTCGCTCGCCTCTGAAAGCTCCAGCAGGTCGGGGGGCAGGGGTGCAGTTCAGGCTGCGCTGACGTAAACCTGGGCTTTGGAGTTATGTCCACAAGGGGCGAGGGGGGAGGGGCTGCTCCTTGCACGCGTCCCGGCTGCCTCGCCCGCAGGCCCCTCCAGGACCTTGGTCACAGTCTGGGCGTGGGCGTCCGCAGGGAGCCTGGCTTCAGGGACACGCACCTGTCCGTCCGCACCTCCCTTCTCCGCTGACCCAGGCCCGTCCCCATCCCTCAGGTGGCCCATACCTGTCCCCTTGCCTTTCTAGTTCCGCTGGATTTAGGGCTGGATTTCAAAACTGTCTCTTCCCTCCCCTTCCTCCTGCTTCTACAGTTACCCAGAGCGCTGCCCCCGTGATGCCCGGTCCCGGGGAGGGCCCTGCGCCTGCCCCCCCCGTGCCACGCCTCCACCTGGCTGGCCTCCCTCGGGTGCGGGTGGGGGGTGGGTCCCCCCGAGGCCTCCAGCTGCCGGCCGGCCGGTCTCTCGTGGTTGTGCTGTGACGTTACACGGCCAGGCCGTGAATTTCACTAGACCCTTGTCAGCTTATTTATGAGGCAAACCCCAGCTGCTGAGGGGACCCTGCCCCCCGAGCCCAGGCCTCACTGCTCCCCTGAACTTCAGATGGGCTCCTCTGGGCCATGCACTTACATTAGAACCGGGAGAGGGCCACACTCGGGGCTGACTGTGACCAAATCGAACGTATGGCTCCCTGCACCGCGTCCCCAGCCGCACAGAGGGTGGAGGGGTCCTCCGCTTCCCGCAGCGGGCGGTCCTGGCCAACCCCGCGTCTGGTCGAGGGCGCACCCCCGTCAGAGGCCGTGCGTCAGGTGGAACCTGCCAAAAGTGCCCTGCATTTCCGAAGAAACGAGGAGGGGATGCCGTGTGCGGGTGCGCGTGAGCGCCCGTGTAGACGGGCCCGGGGGGGCCTGCTGCGTGGCCAGGGGGCAGTGCCCACAGCCCAGCGTGCCGGTGTACTCGGCCCTTCCGGAGCAATCGCCCCGAGAGCAGGACAGTCACTGGGGAGCCTGTCACCATCAGGGGCGAGGAGACGCCTGTGACAGGGAGATGGTGCGTCAAAGCCTTCCTCCCTGGGCCACCACGTGGGGGGCGCAGGGCGCCCCAGCACCGCCGACCCAGCCGCGGGAAGGGCATCTCACACAGACAGCGGAGGAGCCCGCATGGGCTTCCGGGACCGTGGTCCCCGTCGGGGCCGGCAGACGTCGTGAGGCGAGGGAGGAGCGGCTGCGACCAAATCACGTGCTCCCAGAGGACAGAGGCGGCTCGACCCGCCCGACAGAGAAGCCGCCAGGCCAGTGCTGGGCCGACGGTCACTCAGGAGGACGCTAGGGATCGCGGCCCCAGCCGGTCACGTAAAGACCATAAATGGCTCCTTGCCCGCCGGCCGTGGAGGACGCCAGTCAGCAGGGCCTCGGCCAAGATGCTCCAGAAACGGAATGAGGGACGCTGCAGAATCGGACCAGGGAGTCTCCACCGGGGGCTCCCCGTTTTCTGTGCGCCTGTTCTCAGACCCCCAGGGGCCGTTGGGCAGGACGTGGGCTTCCCTGGGCGGTTTCATCAAGCTGCCCCCGGGTGCGGGGACGCTCTGCTGCGGGGCGCGGTGCAGCAGCCGGCGGGCAGGAGGCCCCAGCGGCCAGTGGGGGGCCAGAGCTTCCTGCCTCGGTCGCCCCCGGGTGCCCTGGGGTGGTCAGACTGCCTGCGCGTGTGTCCAACGTCAGCGCCGGTGCCTCTCGAGCGGGGGAGGGCGGTGCTGTGAGGCCAGGGAGGACAGGGTGTCGACGCCTCCTTGGCACCACTCGGTTCCTGAGGCCCAGTGCACGTGACCGGGATGCCGCCGTGATGGGGGGCCCTCCTGTGGCAGCGCCGCGCTGCACACTCAGGACAGGTCTCTGGCGCCTCCCGGCCGCACCCCTCCGGAAGAACGCGCACCTCCCACTGCGTGCCCTGCGAGGCCTGCTGTGTAGACGGCCCCTGAGAGACTCAGCAGGGCGTTGCCTCCTCTCCTCTGCAGAAGACCGGGAAGTAACCGAGCACGTGGACGATGTCGCAGGTGCTCAGGTGCCTCTGGCATCCCTGGAAGCCTTCTGAGGACCAAGCACACGTGCGCACACTCCTGCACACGCACGCGCTGGTGCACACGCCTGGACATGGGCGCACACACGTGTGCTCCGGAGCGCGGCTGCGTCAGGTCCCCCCTGCCTGGACTCCGCCACCAGGAGGCGCCCGCGCGGCTCTGCAGGCTTTTGGTGGCGGCTCCCGGGCCACCGTCCCTCCAGCTCCAGGACCGGCCACTGTTCGTGGCTTCTGGGAGCGGGTATTTCTCTAAAGTGGGAGAACACCCTCCCCTTCCTGCCCTCGGGGCCTCCGAGCAAAGGCTGCGCGCGCACCCGGCCCCACACCGCGGGGGCACCGCCCGGGTCACGGACGCTCCCGGGGACCCGACTGAAGCGTCCGCAGGAGGGGGCGGATTTTCCCAAGGGCGCGGCCCCAGGGCCCGCATGACTGTCCGCGGAGGAAAAGGGACGCGAGGCGGTCGCTGGGGCCGGGGCGCCCTCTCGGTCCCTATCAGGGAGGCGGGCGGGGGGCAGCCTGACCAGTGGTCTCGCCCTCGGGGAGGTGAATTGGCACGCGAGGCCCCACGAGCCCGGGGACCCACTTAAAAGGCTGCAAGGTCCAGGCCAGCCCTCCCCATGCGGTGGGGGGGGTCTGTCCGCAGTTCTCTCCCCCCAGAGGAAGGGGGCAGGGACCGGGGTGCAGGCTCCTCCTTGGGGAGGTGGGGTGCAGGGAAAAACATCCAGAGGCTTCCGCGGTGCTCGGCTGCCCCCTTGAGGCTGCTGGGAGCGAGGCCCTCAGGCAGCGTCTCCTGCGGGGCAGGCGAGGAAGGGCGGGGTGCACAGGCTCCGAGTCCGACCACCCACCGCCCTCAAGGCCCGGGGTGCGCGCGCCTTCTTCCTGCCGCGCGGGCGTCTCCGCGGGGCGGCGGGGCGGGGCGCGCGGGGCGGGGTCTGGGGCGTCTCCGCGGGGCTGCGGGGCGGGGTCTGGGGCGTCTCCGCGGGGCTGCGGGGCGGGGCCTGGGCCGGCTCCGCGGGGCGGGGCGGGGCGCGCGGGGCGGGGTCTGGGGCGTCTCCGCGGGGCTGCGGGGCGGGGTCTGGGGCGTCTCCGCGGGGCTGCGGGGCGGGGCGCGCGGGGGGGCGGGGCGCGCGGGGGGGCGGGGCTGCTCTGAGCGCGCGTGTCTTCCAGGTGTAAGTACTGCGACCGCTCCTTCAGCATCTCCTCCAACCTGCAGCGGCACGTCCGGAACATCCACAACAAGGAGAAGCCCTTCAAGTGCCACCTGTGCAACCGCTGCTTTGGGCAGCAGACCAACCTGGACCGGCACCTCAAGAAGCACGAGCACGAGCACGCCCCAGGTGGGCCGCGGGGTCGGTGGGGAGGGGGAGGAACGGGAGGGCTCAGTGAGGGCGCCCCTTCCCTGATGCTCGCCTGTCCCCACAGTGAGCCAGCACTCCGGGGTCCTCACAAACCACCTGGGGACCAGTGCCTCCTCCCCCACCTCCGAGTCAGACAACCATGCACTTTTAGACGAGAAAGAAGACTCCTATTTCTCTGAAATCAGAAACTTTATCGCCAATAGTGAGATGAGCCAAGCATCAGCGCGAACAGACAAAAGGTAAGGGATTCATCCCAGACCCCAAGAGGGTCCAGGTCCTAAGCCCACCTGTGTGGCCACACCCAGAGCAGGGACACCCCCGCCCCAGCGCCGGCTCTAGATGGGGACCCGGAGCCCACAGCAGACGGGGAGACCGACCGGCGTCGGCTGTGTGCCCAGCCCTGCCACCTGGACCTGGGGGGGGTTGGGCAAGGGGCTCCCCTCCTGCCTGGGTCTCCCGTGATGAGAGTAAGCGCCTGACAGGTGTGCCCCGAGTTACAGGCCAGGCGGGGGCTTCGCCACGAGCTCCACCTGAGCTCCACCGAGAGGCTGAGAGTCTAGAACATTTCTGTTGAATCTGAGGCACTAAAGGTTTCCAAACAGGAGCGTCGCCCTTTAAACACACACACATACACACACATGCATGCACACGAGGTCACAATGCATGCACACAGTGCACACCCATTCACACATGCACACCCTTATGCTTGCACACCCGTATGCATACACATGACCTCACACCCGTTCCTACATGAATGCCTGCACCTGAAATCATGCACACACAAATCCATACATTTATGCACATGAATGAAATCACACATGTACGCACATATGCACACTAACACATGACCGCACGCACATATGTATATATGCACATGAAGTCACACACATACTTACATGTACACACGTGTACACACACTGCACGTATGTACATGCATGTGCACTCATGCACATGCATATACACACATGCACTCACAGGCACACACGTGTACATGCAGATGCACTCAGGCACATGCACACACTCATACATACACACCACATATACATGCACGTTCACACACGTGCATATACACGCACATGTGTATTCACACACATGCACACACTCGTACACATACGCACCTTATATACATATGTGCATATACATGCGCTCACACACGCATGTACATTCACCATGCACTCATGTACATGCACGCACTCATACATGCACACACACTTGCATGCACACGCACACTTGTACACATGTGCACATGGTGGCAGAAAAATGGCAGACTTCAGAGTCGAGTGTAGAGGGTGATCTGCACAGCCCTGGATCCAGGTCTCACAGTGTGGCGCTCACTGCGGGTCCCTTCCAGAAGGACGCTTCAGAGCCCCAGGAGATGTTGGGTAAAAGTGGGGGCCAGACCACCCGGCAGAGCGCCAGAGACGCTGTGAACTTCTAGCGGCCTCGAGGAGCGAGCCATGGACTCTGCAGGGGAAAACAGCCCAGTGAGGGGGGGCCTGCTGCAGCCCCAAGCCAGGCCCAGAACCTGGGGCCAGAGCCCTGGCCCTTACGCCGGCCACAGGAGGGCCACGGCTCTGTGGCCCCCAGCGCCTGGCACTCTCTTCATCCACCTCCAGCAAGTGAGGAGACTGGGGACCCAGGTCCCCCCAAGGCAGGCTGGGGAACAGGGTGGAGGCATTGGGAAGGCCCGTCGAATTCATGAATGAACGTGACACTTGGACTTCCTCTGAGATGCCACATCCTAAACCGTGCCCCCTGGAGGGCGAGCTCTCCTGCCTGCCCAGGGTGGGCTTAGAGGAGGGGATGGCCGGAGAGCCTGGCTGTGGGCTCCGTTTCCCAGAGCCTCACTCCTGCTTGGAAGTGGAGACTCTCACCAGGAGGCAGCCCTGCCGAGGGCTGTGTTGCGGACAGAGTGCCCCGTGCGTCCTCGATTCCAGGCGGCACACGACGGTCTCACGGGAGCCTAGAGCCTGCCCCTCGGGGGCACGGAGCCTGCGTTCAGGCAGCTCTGTGGCCCGTGTGACAGCTGTCCGTGGTTTGAGCAGCGTGGTCTCTGCCTTCAGAGAAAGACCGACGTGAGCGCCCAGCACCGGGCTTTATCAGAGCCGCGCAGCCGGGCCGTGAGGCACACGGCCCTTTGAACTGTGACCGCCTGCGCCCAGGACAAAGGCCAACGGAGAGCCTACAAGGACTTGACCATGGCGTTCTCCGTGGGTGGGCGGCCATGCGGGTGAGCCCAGAAGTGCCAGGAAGACCTTCGCGCCTGGGGCCCGGGTGGCCCAGCTCTTCGCCGTGAGGAGGAGGAGGAGGAGGACTCCGTGAAACCCAGCAGGATGGGGGGAGGGGGAGAGGAGACCGCTCCCCCTTCACCACAGAACGTGTCAGCCAGGGCTTTCCTCTGGCCCCGGGGGGTGAGGCTCAGACAAAGGAGATTGGGCCCCACGTCCCTCAGAAAGCCTGGGGCACAACCAGCCACAAACCCAGGCCCTCGGATGGCCTGCCCCACCGAGGCCCTGCCCCAGAGCCCCCAGGGGGTGTCCCACATCATCGCCGGGCTGAGAACCACAATCATAGGTGACATGAATGCACCAATCTGTGCAAAGACCCGAGGCGTCGGTGGTTCTCCGTGGGGCCAGTGCGAACACAGCCCTTCCCGTGACCTTCAGGGAGAGTGTGGGGGCCGCCAGGCTTCCTGGCCCCACAGCCCCTTACAACCTGGGCTGAACTGTGTCCCCCCAAATCCCAGCCCCTAGTACCTCAGAATGTGACCTCATTTGGAAATATGGTCTTTACGGGTGTGACTGGTTAACACCAGGGTGGCCCCCAGTCCCACATGCTGTCAGGAAAGAAGAGATTAGGACGCAGCCACACGCGCAGGGAGAAGCCGTGTGAAGATGACGCAGAGACGGGAGATGGGGAGAGACATCGACAGCCAACAGGTGCCAGGGACCGCCGACCAACCACCAGCGGCCGCGGGAGGCCGGGACAATTGTCCCTGGACCTCGGAAGGAACCAGGCCCAACCGCGCCTGGGTCTCGGACTCCAGCCTCCAGAACCAGGAGAGATTAGGCTTCTGTTGTTGAAGCCCTGGGCCCGGTGCTGGGTCCTGGTGGCCCCGCTGCTGGGTCCTGGTGGCCCTGGGGCGTCACCTGTCAGCGGCAGCTGTTCGGAGGCCTGCACACTCATGCAGGTGCCCGGTCTGTCTGAAGCAGATGCCAGCCTGCTGGACCCCATCTTCTGTCCCTGCTACCCTCACCGGGTGCCCCTGGCGGATGCAGGCCTCCGGGCCGGGGCCGTGGTCCCTGCCCCCAAGCAGAGGCTCATGTCGAGAAACCACAGAGCACACGTAGCTCCGATGACACATGCCCCCGGCACCAGCTGAACACGATCCCAGTCGGCCACCAAGGCAGTCACCTGCGCAGTTCATCCCATCGACAGGGAGGGCGTGTTCCCATGCCGCCGAGAGGGGACGGGGCCTGAGATGGCAAGTTCGCCCACCGGAGAGCCAGGGAGAAGGGCAGGACCCGGATCCCAGCCCGCGTCCCTTGGCTCTGGAGCCCTGCCTCTGGTGGGCGGATGTGCCTGGTCACAGCACAGGGGACCGTCGGGGGTGGGGGGAAGCGTCAGGGTTCCTCAAGCCCGCGAAGGCAGGTCAGGTGTCAGCATCTTATACTTACTCCGGGAAAGGCAAGGACGGAAGAAGAGCATGGCCGATAGCCCGCGATCAGGGGCCTCCCCGGCCCAGTCCGTCTGCACCGACCTCTGTGTCTGGAGGCCACCAGTCACTCAGAAGCGACGCCCCCTCCCCTGATGCCCAGAGCAGGACCCCAGTCTCCCCTGACGGATTCCTGTGGGCCATGCGAGGTCCGGGAGGAACAGGGTCTGGGGGCTCTGACCTCCGGCCCAGACGTGGGCTCAGGAGGCATGTGGCCGCCCTCCCCGACCCCTCCACCTGCATGCTGGACACGTGCCAGGTGGCCTTGGGCTAGTGGCATTTTTGGAAAGAAACGAGAAGGCTCACCCTTGCTCAGCTTGGGTTTTCCCCCTTTTTTAGAACTTTTTATTGATTTGTTTTGAGAGAGCAAGCAGGGGAGGGGCAGAGAGAGACAGAGAATTCCACACAGCAGACCTGCTGTGGGGCTTGAACCCATGAACTGTGAGATCATGACCTGAGCCGAGATCAAGAGTCCAACGCTTAACTGGCTCAGCCCCCCCAGGAACCCTGAGTGTTTTCCTCTTAAAAACGAGGATCCAGAGGGGCGCCTGGGTGGCTTAGTCAGTTAAGCGTCTGACTTTCACTTAGGTCATGATCTCGCGGTTTGTAGGTTCGAGCCCCGCGTCGGGCTCTGTGCTGACTGCCAGCTCGGAGCCTGGAGCCTGTTTCAGAGTCTGTCACTCCCTCTCTCTCTGACCCTCCCCTGCTCATGCTGTCTCTCTCTCTCTCTCCTAGAAATAAATAAAACATTAAAAANTGTTTCAGAGTCTGTCACTCCCTCTCTCTCTGACCCTCCCCTGCTCATGCTGTCTCTCTCTCTCTCTCCTAGAAATAAATAAAACATTAAAAAAAAAAAAAAAAAAAACGAGGATCCAGAGTGGAAAAGCCTTACCCAGCCAGGGTCACCCTGAGGGAAACGTGGGGTCCGCGCTGCAGGAGGGAAGTCATCGGCCTCTGAAACCAGCTCACCCTCGTCTGGGCTGGTTTCCCTGGCTGACGACAGCCCAGCCCTCACTCTGCAGAACCTCAGGCCCCCAGAGCCCCTATCTGCAGAGAAGCCCCTGTCACCCTGGGTGGCCACTGTCCCTGTGTCCTGTAGGTGGCCAAGAGGAGCCAGCAAGGGTCAATCAGCAAACCTCCCCAAGGGTACCCCTTGTGCAGTGCCCAACCCCAGCTCCAGCCCCCAAGACCTCCTTCCCCACCGGACTGGCCGTGGCTTCCTTCCCGACACACACATCCGGCATCACAGGAGCCCTGCCACCAGGCCCCCCCCCGCCACGCCCTGGCCCCCTCCTCAAGGGGCTGCTGAGGCCGAGGGTTCTGACGACACCCTCAGAACCTCAGCCCTGAGGGTCCCTGTGACCACTGAGGCAGGCTCTTCCCACAGGGGGGCGAGGACGGCCTTGGGGGGGGAGCCGAGCGGAGCCCCAGTCGAAAGCCTTTTGGGGCCCGAGGCTAACTCCCTCCCCTGTCACGTCAGGCCGGAGGCCCCGGACCTGGACGCCAACTCCCAGTGTCCGGGCTTGGCCAGCGCGAAGCCAGAGGACGTGGAGGAGGAGGAGGAGGAGGAGGAGGAGGAAGATGACGACAGTCTGGCGGGCAAGTCCCAGGACGACACCGTGTCCCCCACGCCTGAGCCCCAGGGTGCCTACGAGGACGAGGAAGACGAGGAGCCGCCCGCCTCCCTGGCCGTGGGCTTCGAGCACACCCGAAGGTGGGGGCCGGCCCTCCGGGGGCCACACCGGGGCAGCCTCTCCTGCGAGGGCCCGGGCCGGGGAGGGGCCTGAACGTCACGAGGGCCCCCGAGACCCAGCGCCTTCCCGTTTGGGCCCACCCGGGTCCCCAGCAGGGGCCCCACCGCGGGGGGCGGCCGCACACACTTCCCGAGCGAGGAGGCAGGGCTGGGAGGGCAGCTGAGAGGGAGCTGCTGTGCCCTGACGGTCCCCGGCGCTCGGCCGGGCCAGTGCGCGGGGCTCCAGCAGCCTGAGCGCCGGCGGTCTGGAAGTGGTGCGGGCGGGACCCCTTCCCGCGTGGCCCGGCTGCTCGCTGCCTTGGTTGGGCCCCCGTGATGCGGCCGGCGCTCCAGAAGGTCCTGGGGGAGCCCTTCGGGGACTGCCTGCCCCCCCCCCCCCCCCGTCCCCTGGCCCCTCCAGAGCTGCCCCCTGACCTGTGCTCCCTTCCCAGAGCCCCGGGCGCCCGCCTGCTGCTTGCGGTGTGTGCACGTACTGCCCCCTGCCGGGCCCTCCGTGCACGTACTCCCCCCTGCCGTGGCCTGTCCGTCGCTCCCCTGCATCTGTGTGGCTTCTGTCCAGGTGTCGGCGTGTCTGTGTGTCTGTCTCCTTGTGCATGTGGCTCGTTGAGACGCCGTGGCGTGCATGCAGGCGCGAGCCGGCCGCGGGGCATCAGCGAGGTGGCCGGAGGCCGAGCAGCTAACGCAGGCCCCCTCCCCCCGGTCGTGCAGGTGTATTGAGGAGGAGCCAGGCGGTCTGTTAGCTTTGGAGCCGATGCCGACTTTTGGGAAGGGGCTGGATCTGCGCAGAGCAGCTGAGGAAGCGTTTGACGTTAAAGATGTGCTTAATTCCACCTTAGACTCTGAGGCTTTAAAGCAGACCCTGTACAGGCAGGCTAAGAGCCAGGTAGGTACCGAGCAGAGACCCCCAGCACCCCAGGCCGGGTGGCAGGTGGTGCCTCCTTTCGTGGCGGCCACCCTGTGCCGGGGGCACGCCGGGCCCACCGTCCCCGGGCCCACTGCATCGGCTAGAGACGGCCAAGCCACCGCCACTTCCCCGCAAGCAGGGGTGGGGCAGGGAGAGGTCGAGGCAGGTGAAGGGGAGCCGGGCATCCACAGATGCGTGGGTCGCTGCCCTCTCGTCCCCAGCGGCAGGCGCCCCCGGCCAGGGGTCCGGCCTTGAAGCTGGGTCGGCCTCCGCCCTCTCTGATTCGAGCACGAGCAGCGGGTGGCCCAGGACTCTCCCGAAGGGAGGTCATCACACAGTCCCTGGCCCCACGCTGGAGCTTTGGCAGGGTCAGCGAGGGCCCCCCTCTGTAGCGCCGGCGGCCACAGGGCCCCGCCTCCTGCTTCCGTCTGTCGAGAGGAGCGGGCTGTCTGTCAGCCCAGCCCTGAGTCTCGGCCAAATCCGTCTGCGTGTCTGTCTGTGTCTTTTTACTAATCCCGTCCAGAGTGTAAAGCCGGGTGGGAGGGGGGTCGGCCTTCCCCCGGCCCCCTGCGCTCTGGGCGGCCCCCAGGTCCCCTTACCTCGTGCCCTGTGTCTCGTGGCAGAACTGTCCTGTGGACTAGCCGTGCTCCCGGCCCAGATCGGCGCTCAGCTCGGACCAGCTGTACGTCTGTGCTGTGCTGTCCCCACAGTTGTCCAGCCGGGCAGCCCCCAGGCCCCCCAGGGCCCCCCAGACAGACACTGCTTCTTGTCGGCCACCAGCAATTCCCAGAGCCCTCAAAAAAGTGGGGCTGGGCGGGGGGGCAAAGAGCGGAGGGGCCCCTGTGCACGGAGCCCAGCACACACCCACCCCGCCACCTCCCGCCACATCCTCCTCTCCCGGGCCCCAGGGGAGTGCCTGGATGTGGGCAAGGCTAAGCCGGGCCAGAGGGCAACTGGGGGCCCGGAAGGGGCCAGCTGGGGTCTGCGGGACCCCGCTCACACGGCTCACCTGCCTGTCGTGTGTGTGTGGTGTGTGCGTGCGTGTGTCCTTGTTCCCCCGGCCAGGCGTATGCAATGATGCTGTCCCTTTCCGAGGAGGCCCCTCTGCACACCTCCTCCCAGAGCCCTCTGGACGCTTGGCTGAACATCACGGGAGCCGCGCCGGAGTCCGGAGCCTTTAACCCCATCAACCACCTCTGACGGGCCCAGGATGGGCTGGGGTCTGAGTCCAAGCAAGGCAGCCGTGGGGCCCCGACGTCCCAACAGAAATCCCGGCTGCGGAAGATGGAGAAGTGAGCCTCGGGGAGCGGCGTGGCCCGGGCCGGAGAGAACCCCCGTCACCTGCGTTGACCACTCCTCAGCACCCACCCCCCACACACCATGGTTCAGCTCTAACTTTTCCAATGAGAACTCAGAACCCAGGAGTCGCTGAGCGGTCCTGGAGCCCCACCGTCTGAGAACTGGTCTTAAGAACGGCCGGAAGTGGTTCCGGAAATGGTACAGCACACGGCCAGCCACGTGCAGCCTGCGGGAGCTGCTCCCAGAACCGACCCGGTGGGCGGGGACGGGAGTGCGACCCCAGCTGACGCCACAGCCGGGTCACCTCGGGCACCTGCTGGAGTCTCGGAAAGGAACAGGCGGCCTCGGGTGTGCTCTGGAAAGGGCGATCGCCCCGCCGATTTTTATAACGAGAATGACAAGAGTAACCCTTTTGGTAATCTTATTGACGACAGAGTCTATTTAAGCATGTGGTTTTGAAAATAGACAGTATTTTTTACAAAATCAAAAAATGACTTGCAAATTGTTTTTTAAAAAGTAATTTTGCATTGCTTTGAAATCTCAGCTCACTTGCAAACCCAAACTGGGAACTGGTACCGTGTTTGGGCGTGTTCTTTATACTGCAGATAACGGAGAAATTTTCTATCCCTGACCGTGTTTGTAAAGCCGTGATTCTGGGGACGCCCCCCACCCCCGCAGCACCAAGGGGCCCGGGGCGCTCTCCTGGGAGCAGTTTCAGACTGGACCTCGGAATCCTTAGACGTGATATCCTGGGCCGGCCCACAACCGGCAGGCGTGTGTGGCGCGCAGTTCATGCCTGTGGCCCCTCCGATCATATGGGGAAGGCGGGAGGGGCGGCTCTGGTCCCCTGTGCAGGGGTGGGCCTGGCATCCACGGCCCTGCCCACGCGGCCTGCGCGTCGGCCACACCCCCGCCAGCTCCCCCCACCACTCTGCAGATGGGCGCCCTGCCGGCCACACCCAGGTCTCCGGCCCCCCTCACCCACGCCGTCAGACGGACAAGGGGGGAGGGGGCATCCCCTGTGGCCGCCGTGGGGGGCGCTCTGCGGCTCCCCGGCCCCAGGCCGCCCGCCAGGCTCTGCACCCACGCGAGCCTGGGGCTCCGGGACACGACTACCAACTGCTCCGGCACGGCTCCCCGGCGGACCAGCCCCGCTCCAGGATGGACAGACGGACAGGCGTCCGGGCGGGACTTGCCGCGGAACAAACACAGCACAGCCCGGTCGGGACGGGTCTGCTTCTCCAGCCGGGTGGGCTTTAAGTTATTCCCGTAGGGGCCAACTTCAAATCATAATTTGTTTCCCTGATGGAATTTACCTTAATCTGTATATAACTTGTAATTTTTTCTAATTCATTTCTTTTCTTATTTTATTTCTTCCTTAACAGTATTTTGGCATTAGACATTCTTATTGTGAAGAAATATTGTTAATATAAGTACTTAGTGAAGGACCAAAACCGTGTATAAGGTCGTGTGTTGTGTGATCGATACCCAGGGAGCAGGGAGGTTTTAAACGTGCCAAATACCCCCGCGCCCCCCGACGGATCCTGCTGCCCCGTTTCCAGACAATCACGTGTTTTTGTTAAATTAGAGTTTCAGTTACCTTTGCATTGAAGACAAGTGTTCTATTTATTTCTTTTATTGTTTGGAAGAAAAAAAAAAAGAGAACTCGTGTCCCAACAGGAAGAGAAAAAGATCGCCCAAGTTGCCCTTAAAAAAGAATGTAGATGCGAGCGGTGGGGGCGCCCGCGCCTGAGGTCGGGGGCCCGGTGGGGGTCGAGTCCCCTGGCTCTCGAGTCTCCCTGCGGGCCAGAGCCGCTGCGCCCCCAGGTGCCCCCACTGCTCCAGGCCAGCGACAATCGTCTGTGTCGGCGCCAGAGACCTGCGTGGGGCCCGCGGGCCCTGGAGAAAGGGTTGCACCCGTTCTCGGTCCACGGGAGGTAGCAGGCGGCTCACGAGTGTGTGCAGCTAGAAGGTCGCCTTGCCTGAGAAAGAGCTGAGGCTTTGACCTTGGGCCACCCCTCCCCCCCCCCCGCCTCCTCACACGCACCCACCTCCCCCCCAGGCCCACCGGGCGTGGCGTGGGCTTTCTGATTTCCCCTCCACCCAGATGGGACCGTTTTGCAGAGTCGACCTCAGATATAAACGCCCATTTCTGTAAACCCAAATTATATTTCTTCTGCTAAAGAATAAGGTGTGTGCTTCTTTGCGATATGACTCTCTCTGCCCAAAATAGGAAGTTTGGCCAGTGGAGACCAGAACCTGCTCTCCGTGATCCCAGGCGAGGGGCGTTCCGTCATTTCCGGCCATTCTGGCCAGCGGCTCTCCCCTCCCCTCCCTCCCAGAGCCCCACCCGCACATCCCCAGTCCTTTCCTCCCCCCCCAGAACAATTAGAGCTATAGCCCCATTTCTCCTAAACATTCAGGCCCTTGGGCCCAAGCACTTGACAGGTTTGGGGGGTCTGTCCTTGGACCCCCCCCCCCGACAGAGTGAGCACTTACTCCCCGCGCCTGGTGCCTCTCTCCGCCGCCTCCGGGCCGCAGCCCCGCACAGCCCGGTCAGGCCCAGCCCGACATTGGGGGGCCGGGGAGCTGGACAGCCAGAATGCTGAGACCCCAGCTTCAGGGCACGGCTGCCACAGGGGAACAGGCTGGCTGGCCACGGTGTCCGTGGGTGGTGGCCAGCATCGGGCCTGTGCACTCGGGCACCACTCGGCTGGGGTCCCTTACATCCCCTAACGGAAATTCAGACGGAAGGCTCCTCGCCCTCCCCTCCGTCCCTCAGACCGCGGCCCCCGGAGGGCCGACGCCGTCCCACCCCACCCCTGCTGCTGCCGAGCTGTGACCCTTTGGCCAGCCAGGGCCTCCGCGAGTAGGCCCGAGACCCCCTGTTCTGAACCTGGGGGCGTGCTTTCCTGCAGCCTGTGCGGGGCCCCGGGTTCACGGGGCAAGCCCGCGGGGGCCTTCCTGTCCGAGGCAGGAGCACCACCGGACTGCCCAGACCCCGACAGGCCCGGCACCTCCACGGCCCGAGGCTGGCCCTGGAGGCTCGCAGGGCCCCGGGCCCTCTCCGTCCTAGCTGCTTCTTCACTCGGCGTCCGCAAAGCACTTGCCCAAATACGTTCTCGCCCGTGGTAGCCTTGAAGCCTCGAAGCACTGGATCGTGGTCCCCCCGCCCCGTCCCCCTGCCCAAGTGACTGAAAGCTACTGAGCTGTATTCACTGTGCTGCCCGGGGAAGCGGCGAGGGGGGCAGCGCGCGCCCCGCCCGGCCAGGGTGGCGAGGCCGGGGCCGCCCCCGGTCGGTGGAGGTCAGCCGGGTATCAAAAGCCATGAAACTGTCTGCAGCAGCGAGCAATACTGTGACAAGACGTTCCTGCGTGACCAGGAGCCTTCTTTCCCTCCCTGCCTTCCGGGTCTGTGGTGTTTTCCTTTCCGTCACTGATTCGTCCCCTGGCTTTTGGAAAAGAAAACAAAAGGCAGCTTGAGTTTCCAAACGTGCAATTCACTCGTGAGCTGAGCGCTTCCCAATGTTTCTGGGCGTGTTTCCTGCCGTCGGTGCTCCCGAGGTGAGGCGAGCCGAGCCCCCGTGTCCGAGCACCTGCTGGCAAGACCCGCGCCCGCGCGCCCGCACCCCTTCCCGCCGTTGATCCATCGCAGATCCGGTTCAGTTCGTTTTCTGGGTTTTCTTTTGTTTTCGTTTTGTTTCATTTTTCTTTTAGAACTGTGTAGCGTTGGAAAAGAAATCAAGTGTAAACGTCAGGCTTTCATAGAACGTTTTTTAAAAAACATAAAACCATTGAGAAGGAGGCCGGTGTGTGTCCCACGTCCCCGTGATTGTAAATTGCTTCTGTTATAAGTAAACCGTGCATGACTCGTGTTTCGCGGTCATTATTGTGTCTGTTCGTGAAATTTTTATGAAAAGGAGAATTCCGTAGATGCACTTGCTGACTTCTGTGATTAGGGTCTACGTCCTCCGGGCTGGGAGCTCAGAACTGCTCAGGCCAAAGCGCAGTTCTTAATCAACGTGGAAATCGCTGAAGAACACAAAGGCAAAGACACCCAGTGTAGCAAACCATCGAGAGTGATTCTGCCGATTTCATTTTGATGCTTGTGATAAAGACAGATGTGCTTGTGTAGAGAAACGTCTTTAAGATGATGCCTAGGAGCAGCTGATTCGAGGCTAGTGCTGTAGAATAGGACTGTGCGCCAAATGTAACCTTTCCGATGCTACAATGAATTTATACATGAGATTGATATGCAATAAATCTGTGTGCTTTTCTAAGCCCTGGTGCCCGCGAGCTTCACTGAGGGGCAGCGGAGGCCCCCGGGATGGGGAAGGACTAGGGGTCAGAGTGTGGCCAGCGGCACGGCTCACCAGCCTGGGACGAGGGGCCTCGGGGACAGGCTCTGGGACGTGCAAAGCCATCAGCTCGACACTACCACCTGGGCAGGCACCCTTGCGATTCACCTGCCCGAGCTCAGGGAAGTGCCCTGCCCTCGATGGCTCTGCGGTGACTGTGCTGGTCTCCCGGTGGCCTCTCCCCGAGTGTGTCTCCCCCAAGGCATGTTGGCCTCCGGGCGTGTCTGCCTCCAGGTGAAGGAGCCCATCCTGTAAGGCCAAACCTAAACACGCCCCTTCTTAAGGGAGGGCCTGCCCACCAGCCAGCCCTCCACACCGGCCGGCCCTCCTCACTGACCAGCCCCCCACAATGGCTATGCCTACTGTCCTTGCACTGTCCCCACCCGGGACCTGAGCCTGCCCTCCAGGCAACGGCCGGATGGACTGGGGCTGAACAAAGGGCCGGGGGGCGCGGGGGGGGAGCTCCTCACCCTTCCTTTACACGCCACCCACCTTCGCCCACTCAAGCGCAGTGTTCAGCCCCTAAATTCCGGGGTCTTACACCAGGAAGTCCTCCCTATGGCCTCTCCCCTTCCACCAGGGTGTGGAGGTGAGGTGGGAGGCGTGCCTCGCACACTCAAAGAGCTGTCTGTCTGACAGAACAGCCCCACCCTCACCAAAACGACACACGGCCTTCCCCAGGTGTGTGAGGCGGGAAGAAAACAAGATCAGCGTCAAAAAGAGGAATTGGGTGATTGTACCCTCCTCCTGACAGCTGTAGGGGTGTCTGGCCCAGAGTTTCCCCACAGCCTCTCAGGCCCCCAGGACACCCAGAGGCTCCTGAGCCTGTTCCCTGGTCAGAAACCACCACTTGACTGGATTTAGGGCTGCAAAGATGGAAAATGCTGGGACTTACCTCTCTATCTCCAAGGCCTAGCGTAAAACACTCTCTTGGTAGAAGATGGGTTGCACAAGTGGATAGACGGTTGGATGGATGGATGGATGGATGGATGGACTGTAGATGGATGGATGGATTGTGGATAGAGGGATGGATAGATGAGTGGATGGATGGATGGGTGGGTGGATGTATTGTAGATAAATAGATGAATGGATGGATTGTGGATAGATAGATGGATTGTCAATGGATGGATGGATGGATGGAAGGGTGGATGGATGGATTGTAGATGGATGGATGGATTGTGGATACAGGGATGACTAGATGAGTGCATAAATGGATGAATGGGTGGATTGTGGATAGATAGATGGATTGTGGGTGGATGGATGGATGGATGGATTATGGGTGAATGGATGGGTGGATGAATGATTTGCTATAAGGACCCTCACTGCAGGAAAGTTCCCACGTGGATTCTGGGAACTGCAGTGCCTCTGAGGGGCCTGAACGTGCTCTGACAGGAGGAATGGGGAGGGGGCCTGGGGTCCCTGCAACAGCAGCGCTGGTAGCCTGAAAGGGAAGGAGCAGAAGTTGATCCTGAAACAAGATCCCTGGACCCAAATCTGAGGCATTGAGCCTTTTTATTTTCTTAATACCATCAAGTGAAGTGTGTTTCCCCAGTGAGGCATTGGTAGGGGGAAGTGTTTAAAGATTTCAAGGCTGTTTTCCTCCCAGATGTGACTGACGAAGTGTTGGTGAGGTCTTAAGCCCCGGTGGTCAGATGCAGGGCTCACCCCAGAGCTCCAGGCAGAGAGGCGGCCTGAGCGGCTTGTCTCTGGGAAATACATTTCCGTTCTCAGGGGACAGATCATGAGAATCATGGGTCTGACGAATGGCTGTGCTTCCAAATCACTCACAGCGACGGGGTGACAGTGTCCAGCACCCCCACCGTGGCCCGGGGGCTCCGTCCCTCCCATCCCATCCAGCCCCGCAACCTTCCTCCTCATTAGCCCTGAGGGGAGAGGAAAATCCAAACCACAAGGGCGCCATCTGATAATAGCCTTATTGTCGGGGGACCCAGAGGAAGAAAGAGCAGAGACACAGTTGCTGACAAGCAGACTTTGTCTTTCTGGAGCCCAGCTCCTCGCA